ATTATCTGTAAAAGTAAGAGTTCTCTTACACTTCAAAGAATAATCTTGCTATATTTGAGTGTAAGAGCTGCAGAATGTGAAATACAATCTTATTCTCAGACTTAATTGATTTCAAAGGTTCAATCTGCAGATTCAATGATGTACATGTCATATGCAGTTGACTGATAGAAAGAAAATGATTCATACAATTCTATTAACTGATATGAGAAGAACATTTCATATCTCTGATATAGAAGGATTAAATCTGCTTATATATTAACAAGCAAAGAGAATGATTTGTAAGACCTCATTCAAAAGCATTCTGTATATTATACAGGACTCAGAAGTGAAGAAAACTAAGATAAAGAATATATGAGAGAACAAGTGTATGAAGAAGCTTCTGAAGAAGCATAGAAAGATCTTCTGAACAGATCTTTTACTGAAATTGCTGCTGAAATGAGAATTCATACATGAGATTGACATGAGGGACATAAAACCAGTCAATCAGAATGCATATTCTCTGTCACAAATGCATCTTGAAGAACAGAAGTGTCAGATCACAGACCTTCTAGAATGTGATCTCATACAATTCTCATCAAGTGCGTGGGGCTTTTCAGTTCTATTTGTGAAAAAGACAGATGAAGAGTGATGAATGTGTATCAATTATTAAACACTTAATAAGCTTACAATCAAGAATGAATATTCACTGTTATAAATTCAACAACAGTTGAATACAGTCAGAAATGTCTGATATCTATCAAAGATCAATCTTCTCTCAGAATACTGGCAGATCTGTGTAGACAAACTGTCAGTTCTGTGAACTGTATTTAATATATAATAAAAGAAGTTTGAATTCCTAGCAATATCATTTAGTCTGATAAATATACCTGTCATCTTTCAAACAATGATGAATACAATTCTTTATAAACAGAATAAAACCTCATATCTCATATATCTTGATGATATTCTAGTCTTTTCAAACTCATACAATAAACATCTGAAGCATCTCAATGAAGTGCTTATAACTCTGACAGAGTATAAGCTCTATATCAAATCAATCAAGTGTGTGTTTGAAATGAAAGAGTTGAAGTTCATGAGACATGTAGTGAGTGATGACTGTATACACCTCATTCTGAAGAAATTGAATGTTATAGTGAATTGACTGCAGCTGAGAAATGTATATCATGTATAACAGTTTCTTGAATTGATCTTATACTACTGCAGATTTATCAAGAATTTCACATGAATATCTGCATCACTCTCAGATCTCTTAAGAGAAACAGATGCAAATCTGCAAAAGAAGAAGTTTCATTCAATCATCTGAAATGCCACATGTGAAGAGGCTTTTCTCACACTGAGAGAATGTGTAACAATATTCTCAGTGCTTATTCAATCAGATCATGATAAACCTTTCTACATTAAGATAAACATATCTGAATGAGCTATCAGAGATGCTCTTCTACAGATGAATAAGAATAGCAAGCTGCATCTGATGACATATAATGGTAGAAAACTATCAGACACTGAGCTCAATTACTCAGTGTATGAAAAGAAATTGCTAGCAATCAAGCACACACTGACATTGTGAGATAGATATATTGATAACAGGTATATGACAACAGTGATCACAGATCATGAAAGCCTTGTCTATCTATAATCAATGATAAAACCTTTCAAATGCTTAGCATGTTGAATCTCAGAGTTTCAAGTATACAATCTTCATATCAAATACTGAAAGAAATCAGATATAGCAATGCCTGACACAATCAGTTGCAGACCTGATTTCATGAGTAAGGATTCTGCAAATCAGGCATAAGAGATGTTCATATTAAACACACTGAGAGAATGCAAGGAATCAGAATAAGTGAATGCTATGATCTCTCACTTGAAGAATGACAAGATGTCAGATGATAAGTATCTTATAAAAGTAGTAGAAGAGATGCTTCTGAACTTCAAGCTGGAAAAATTGAGAAAGAAAAATGACATTGTGCTTTACTGTGATCTAGAATATGCAGAAGCTCTCTATCTAGAATCTTCATTTTGATGTGACTTGATGACTCACATGCACAAAGACTTCAGTCACTTAGAAAGTTCTGAACTTATGAGTGTACTTGAATCAAGAGCATACTAGCCAAGCATGGCTGAGAACATTCAGATGTATACTCATGAGTGCCTGAATTGTCAGATTGCAAAAGAATCTAAGAAAGGGTTAGAATACAAGAAAGTGCAACATCAGATGAAGTGTATAATACAACTGTTTAAATAATGAAGAGTGAATCTCATAGACATATTACTGTGAACATTAAATGAAAATTGATGAATAATCACTGCTATTGATTATACTACTGGCTGATCAGTTGTAAAAGCAGTTTCAGAGATGATAGAGAAGATGATGATGAAGTTTCTATATAATAAGATCTATGTCAACTATGAAATGCTGTATGAGATTCTAACTGATAATGATGTGAACCTTGTAGAAGAAGTAGTGAGGCATTTCATGAGCCAGTTACAGACAAGATATCATAGAACAACATTATATCATCCGCGGATGAACAGAAAGATGGAATGCTTGAATGAAATCTTGGATAACATGCTGATGAAATATCTAGTGAGCAAGCCTACAAGATTATGAGATGAATATCTCGGTCAGACACTATTAGCCACGCGAATTCAGCAGCATGCAGTCTTCAAGTATTCATCATTCTACCTGTTGTATGAATTGCATCCGCGCATTCTGAAGAATGCTTCAAAAAAGATGAGAGAGAGAGCAGTTGCAGATGCAGCAGGAACAGCAGTTGCAGACACAACAGTCACAGATGCGGAATCAAGATTGAAAGAGATCAGCCACACACATGCAAAAGCTAACAAGTTACTCCTGAACTGAGTAATTCAATTAAAAAGAATACAAGACTCACTTGTTAAGAAATCAAGTCTCAAGATAGAAACATGAGTTCTTGTATACAATGAGAATTCTGAGAAGTTTCAATCTAGATAATTTGAGTCATATAAAATACTTAAATCACATTCTCTGAAAATGTATGCATTGAAAGAATCAGAGAGACAGATCTTATACAACTTAATCAATGATTCATGACTTATGAAAGCAAAGATGCAAGACCTGAGTGAATTATGATTATTCACAGCACTATCATCAGCATTGAAAAAGAAGAGACTTATAATTGAAAAGTCTTGTGAAGTAAGAGAAATCATAGACACTTATAAACCAGATGATCTCACTTATTCTGATCTTTTCATGATTATAAGAAAAGAATGAAAAGAAATGAAGAAATCAGGTGAACATCACACTTCAATAAGTGATAAGACTGTAGTCAGTCATATAATAACACACTGCAGACAGTGAGTGCAACACAGCAAAGAGCAGTCTCAGAGCAGCAGACTTGCATATGAATCAGATCACAGAAGAAAAAGGAATTCAGAGTTGAATTTGACTGTTTACATCAGTTCAATTACAGAGACTACAGAGAATGAACTATCTGAAACATTCATGAATATATAAGATCAAGTCATCTTGACCTCTGAAGATGCTCAGAGATTGAGTGAGGTTAGTTTCAATGAACTGTTCACTGTAGTGATCTGAGTGAGTGAAGAGAGACAGTATAATGTGCAAGACAGAATCACAAAAGATGAAAGCTGCTGAACCTAGTCACTGAATACTGTATCATATAGAGATTGTGTAAGAGTAGTGACTAGCAGACAAAGAAAAAGTGTAAGAAAAGAAAAGAGATAATTAGACTGGCCGCCGGGACCATGAATTTCACGTTTGGTCCCATTTGATCTGGTCTCATACATTTCTTGGCGTGAATCCCGCTGGGACTGGCTATCAAAAAAACATGCAAAGTGACTATATATCAGATTTTAAAATGGGACCATGACTTGAAAAAAATGAGAAAGTGGTCTCATTTGGTCCCATTTAGTCCCATTCTTGGCATAAAGTTACTATTTTTAGACATTTTAAGGTTTTTTTTAGACTATTTTTAATTTTTTAAAAAGTAACGCTTTTTGGTAATGCTCAAATAAGATTTAAAGTCATTTAAAGCAATAAAAATAATTTAAATTGAGAAGTGAAAATCATGGTCCCATTTGGAAAATGTGACAAGAGTAGACAGTAAGTCCCACTGGGACAGTATGGAACTACTATCTAATGTTAAAACCGTGTAATGGGATCAGTCGAATTGGTAATGAGACTATCAAAAAATCTGGTCCTGGTCTCAGACACGGTCACACGGTCAGTCTAGAGATAATGAATTGATTATCAACTGTAAGAGTCAGCTGTAAAAGACAAATGTTATCATACACATCTCATTCATTTTTATACATCACATGTTAATCTATTTCCAACATCACATCACCTGAAAAACATCAAAAACAAAGAAAATCTCAAAACTCAAGATTCATAAGAGATTTGAGAGCTGTAAGCTGCTCTTATAATAATACTGTGCATGTCTCTGATTTCTCTACTGCTCTGTGTACAACATTAATGTCATTTATTGCAAGATTGACTGAAATGCCAATATAGAAATGCACACATGTATGCATAGAGAAATTGAAGAAGAGCACAGAACTCACAGGATCAGAAGTCAGAGCAGGAAGAATAGAGACAGAAGAAACAGAAGAGAGAGGCACAGAACTGAACAAATAACAGAAGTCACTCAGAGTTAAATACTTATAATCTGATATGCGCATGACCTTCTCTGTAGAGAAGGGAGAAGAAGTGATGAGAGAAGCTTGAGAGTGAAAGAGAGTAGTCTCAGTAATGTTGTCATCTTCAATTAAAATGACCTCTGGCACTGAAGCAACTAAGAACTATTATTAGTGTACAAAACTGCAAAAACAGAGATAATAATTACTGAACAAACACCTGCTGATCTTAGAATTGTACATGTAATTACAACACACATGAGGCTTCTCAGAAAGAGAGAGAAGAACATGAGAGAATGCAGGAAGCAGAACACAGTGTATGAACAGCTCATTCTCACAATGACATCTCAGACAAGACATACAAGTCTCATGTCTGTGAGTGTAAAAGAGTACAACATCTGTGTTCCTGTTTCTGAAAACACAGATATCTTTTGTCTGCATTATGAAGTTGAATGATAGATATCAGAGAATAGACTGATACAGATCTATCATTCTGAAGAAATTTGTCAGAGTGAATGTCTCTGTGATATTGAACTTTACAGTTATAAAAAGCTTCTTAATGTCTGTGAACATCATGACTTCATACACAGTAAAATTCATAACAATTTTCTCTAAGAATAGAAAAATCAGTATCAGAAAGAAAAGATGAAAAAGAAAAAGACTTACAATCTCAACACTGTTGAAGAGAGAAGTAATTCTCTGATATAAATGAACAATTATTTTATCACAAATATTTAAAACAAATGTAATAATCAGCATCTGTGACTGAGCTTCAGATAGTCATGTTATACACTATCTTCATACAATAAATTGTTCTGAGAGTCAGCAAGAAGAGCAGAAGTGTATATGCTGAGAGATATGATTCATTAAATCTATACAATATCTTCTTGAAATGAGGAGAGCTAGTAACAAAAGCAGAGGCAGTAAAACCAGGGATTGCAGGAACAGGAGTAGCAGAAGCGGGAGAACCAGACACAGAAGCAAGTGTAGAAGATTGAGAAGCAGCAGAGAAAGAAACAGAGAGAGAAGTAGCAGAGAAAGAAGTAGCAGAAGAGATAAAAAGGGACACGGGAGACTCAGTCACACATGACACAGATAATTTCTTCATTATCACATTCTTCAAGTTCTTGATCAAGAATGCAACATCAGGTTCACTATCATTGATAAATGCAGATCTGTCAACACATGAAGATTCTATATGAATAAAAACAAACATATCAGCATCTGCATTCACACAAAATTGTGTCAGAAAACACAATCAGAAACTCACTGAGAAGGAAACAGTTGAGAGTGTATAAGAAGATGAAGAAGATGTGTCATCATTCATGATAATACATTATTCTGATGATTGTTAGAAGATAAACAAGTCCTGATCACATTTCACAATGTGTTATACTTACTGCTAATGAACTGCTCAGTATGAGCATTATGATAATACTTGTTGTGAAAATGAAGAGTCATTGCCAGGAATGTGTATGATGTGATAGATGAACAGATAGAAAGAGTTGAACAGAAGAAGAAGTAGAAATCTTGAATGATGATGATGTTTAATGATGATGAAATGAAGAAGATGATTGAAGAATGGAAAAAGTTAGTGAATGAGTGATGTAATATAGTGGAAGTTTCTTTGTAAGAATGTACATAGAACACTAGCTGAATCAGAAATAGGTCACACAATCATGAAATGCTAGTGATGAGCTAATCCGCATGAAGCTAGAATGTATGACATGGTCATGTGAGCGTGACCGAATCTGGTGAGGGAGGATGTGGTTTGAAAGAATGTACAATCATCGGATAATAACGCGGCTGCTTCTGAACTACTAGTGTATGCATATAAGTGTAAAGGGGCCATAGCATACGCTAATTAATTTAGCGTATGAGATTACAATATAAGAAGCCGGCGTACGCCTGTAATCGTACGCTGGCTTAAGCAACCTTTGAATTACAATATCAATAAAAACTGCAGTTGAGACCAGATCTTCATACTTTGCTATTTAAATATCATGAACAACTGAGAGAACAGTGTCAATTGCAGAACACTGTTTTCTATCTCTTATTTATTCACTGAATAAAAGAGAATTACTGATAGAGCTTATAAAAGATAGTTAAGTAGCTATTATCTTTTCTAAAATCTTTTCTAGACAGTTCAATAGACATATTACTCTATATGACTTAAGAATTGAAGTTTTTCTATTAAGTTTTATAAGAATCACTTCAGTGACTTCTCTTCAGCATTCATAATAATATTCATTTTTCAAGAGATTGAAAAAGAGCTTAAAATATTTATTCTTTAAGTAGAAGTATATATCTTAAATAATTAAGTAATTAATTAAATCAGGCCCTGCAGCAGTCTTAACTGAACTTGAGAAAATAACTGACTCTAATTTATCTTGAGTAAGATCAGGTCATTCCCAGTCATTTTCATCAATATAGTTAAGAAGTGATATATTCTCTTTCTCTGAATCTGAATCTAATAAGTTTTGAAAGAGAGTTCTTATAAAAGCTTAACATTTTTTCTCAAAAGAGTTTGCTGTATATGATTATTATTATTATTATTATTCTTTCATTATACTCATATGCAAGCGGAGCTTATGATGAGTCCTTGTGTGATGTTAAATACAGGCCAAGTGTTCATTATACAGAAGGAAATACAGATGTTGAGATCATATCAAGATAACAAGAACATAGGAAATACAAAGAAGTGACAATTAGATACATGTGATAATAACTTCCCAGCCCAGGAACATAGAGCGATTTTATTGAAGTGATTTGTACATCTCTGTATTTATTAAAAACCTGAGGTGCTTGAGTTCCGGATTTAATGTATTCCCTGCGGGTTTCGAACTCACACACCTTGGTTTCCCACATCAAGGCGCTACCGGGTGGCCGCATTAACCATTCAGCCACCGGGGTGCTGTATATGATTCATTCTGAAACTTATATTCTAAGGTTGGAAGTTTTGATACACTTCTTGTTTTAGTATAGTTAAAAGCTTTAAAAACTTCTTTTTCTTATACTTCTTCAAGAAATTTATTTCAGCAGTCTGTTTTAGCTTTTTTAATATCTGAAAAATATTCATTTCTGACAGCTTTGAACTCTTTATCAGAAATTATATCATTCTTTCAATCTCTTCTAGCAGTAGTCAATTGTTTTCTTTTAAATATGATATTCTCATTTTATCAAGATTTTAAATACTCAGAAGACTTTCTCTTTGAAATATTATCTTTAACACTTACTAGAATAATAGATGTAATGAGCTTCACTCTATTCTCAAGCATTTCATTTGAGATATCTTGATCAGAATTTCAATACAGCTCACTCTGTCTTTCAGATTTTAACAGTTTTATACTTTCTTCAACTGCCTTTCAGTCAGCTTTTTCATAGTTAAACTGATTAGAGAGAAGAGAATTTTCACTCATTTATTCCTCACTCAGTTCAATATCAAATTGAATAATCTCATGACCTGATTCTGATATCTCATTTGAATTAATAAATCAGTTTACAAGTCTTTTTTCTATTAGATTTTATGACATGAAGATTAGATCTATAATAGATTTCTGTTTTATATCTTTTCTAAAGAATGTTGATTGATCAGACTTATTCACTAAATCTATTAAATGCTCAAAGATTTATTTAATCAGATTATCAGCTCTTACTGCTCTTTTGCATTCTAAATTTCATCAGAGATGATGTGTATTGAAATCTCCTGCAATTGTAGAGTTTCTTGATAAAGTTATGTTTAGAAATTCTCTATCAATTGTTCAGATGTTATTATTTTTCTTCAATGACTTTTCATTATAGATATTTATAAGCTGTATAGTATCAAACTCATTCTCTTTATCTATAATATCACTCATCAGAATATCAGAGTCAGACATGATATCAAATCTTAGATTAAATTAATATCTTGATCTCTTTCTTTTATAGATGACTACTCTTGACTTTATCTCAGACTTTTGAGATAAAAAGCAGTAGTAGCTTGAATGAGAAATGACATATTTTTACTCAGCATCAAAATTCAGCTCCTGAAGCAGTATAAAATCAACTTTTTATTCAAATGCAATTTGAAGACAAGAATAAATGCAATTTGAGTTTCTATTCACATTATTTTGAATAAATGTGATTTTTGAAGAGTTTTTAAACTTTTTTTATTGTTTTTATTGTATATTCATACTAAAAGAGAGTAGAGTAGAATCTAATCACTATTATCAGATAGTAGATTATAACTATTCTGAAAAGTAGAAATCTCAACTACTTGTATTATATCTAGTTTATCATCAGAGTCATTTCTCAATTCTCTAATCTTAATAGAAGTTTGAGAATTCAAATTCTGTTTACATTTAGCTGAAGAATTGAAGTTTAAAGATTTAAATAGTTGAGAGTTTCTTCTTTTTAAGCTTGCAGTTGTGAGTTTACTGACTTGATGTAAGAAATCCCGCTTCTCGCGGATTCTTTACCTCTATTCCTATCTCTTATGTAATCAATAGGGCTAGCGGCCCTTGACTACACACAACTATATAGACTGGAGTTCGCGAATACTATTCATAACTCAGCTTGAATACTATTATATATTTGACTTTTATATTTTATCTTTCTACTGTGAATACTTCTAGTAGTTAACAGTATATATCATGTCAAGCTGTAAACACTTAAATAATCATCTATAAGCACTTATTCTTATATTTCAAGCTCAGTCAGTCAGCAACTGTCTATTATAACTGAAAGAATTAGAAACTTACATACTTCAACTTCTGTGATCTCTACTGCAGATACTCAGAAGCAGTCACTCAAATCATGAATAGCTCTTATGAAAGAAGTCTCAGAGAACTTACTAATCACTCACAGAACACTATTCTCTACATCTGTGACAGAGAAACTCTCTGAACTCATGAATAAATCAATCTTAGTAAAGAATATTCTTGAGCATCTCTCACAGAATCAAGCTATTTTTTTATAAGAAATGCTTACTATCTGTAAACACTCTTGAACTGAGTCTTTAGACATAATCTTCAGAGACATCTGTGAACTAAAAAGAAACTTTCTTAAGCTATAATTATTTAAAATCACTTATTAAATCACAATCTATAAAAGCTTTTACAAGTTTGTATTTGAAATTGACTCACAAGTCTGACTATGTGATATAAAAGATGAAGAAGCTGTCATCTATGTAATAACAGATCTTTATTACACTGAAGTCAAGAACTGACTGAATTATCTAGAGAATAATTATAAGAGATTTCACTGATCTGTTCTCAAGACCTATCTAGAAAACAAGTTAAAGAATTTTATAAGCTGAACAGAGAATACCTGAGCTGTGATCATCAATATTAGAAAAAGAGATGAGAAATCTGATAAAGACTACTCACAGCACTTTATAAAATTGTAATGTAAATTGAAATCTGTGAAAATAGAGCTCTGAAACAAGATCTGAATGATGATATTTATAAAGAAACTGAATAAAGATATATAGAACAAGCTCATTGAGTAAGACTCTAAGCTCTTGACTCTGAAGAAACTAATAACTCTTATTCATCACTTATGAATTACTGTGAGAGTCACAGATCTGTGAAGAGTAGATCATCAACTAGCTCTGCAAGAGTCAGAATAACAGAGAACAGATTTGTCAGAAAAAGATGACAAGATATAGAGAGATTCATATCTGACTACTAAGCAGAGAGAGAGAGCTTTATAAGCTTCTATAAACAGAGTGTATAATAGTGAGATTAAGAAAAAGAGACTCTACTTTATCTATTCTAAATTAGAATATCTTCATACAAACTGTTCAGATAAATTAAAATAGAAATTTGAGAAGTTACAGACAGAGTCAGTAACAGTCTTCTTAAAAGTCTTAAAGCTGATATCTGAATCTGTTACTTCTCTGATGAAAATGCTTACTTATAGAGAGAGACTGTATTATAGTACTGCTGCTCTGTAAGTATGAAAAGTATTGATGAACTCAGAATCTCAGATCATTATTATTATTATTCTTCAATTATAGATGTATGCAGTCAGAGACTATGACATCTACCTGAGAACTTTAGTTCTCAGGGTTTTTTCTATGTCTGTAAAGTTAACTATTGTACATTTATCAATTTCAGATATGTAAAATCAGAAAATTCCAGCCCAGAATACAAAAACTGTTTACAAATTGCAGTGTTTTAACATCTTTTGATACTTTGAAATCATTTGACAAT